TGTTATACTTATTTACTTATAAATAATTTTTTTTTTATAACTTGCTAATTTTATTTTTATTATTATATTCCTAGTGAAGATAGAATTAGTATGAAAATTTTTGGTGGGTGGATTATGGGAATATTTCCAAGTTTATTTTTATTTTAGTAACAAGAGCGTTTTAATAATAAAAAATAAATTTAAAAAAATTTGAGAGAATTTGTTCAAGTAATTTTATTCAATGACAAATTTTAAACAAAGTATCAATCATTTAAATTGAATAATTGGATTATATTCTTCTAAATAAATTTAGGAAATGAGAGGAAAAAACATATTAATTAGTAAGAAGAGATTAGTAAGATTTTAATAAAAATTGACTAAGTATTGTAATAAACAAGTTCTGGAAATTACATAGTTTTTTCTCACCATAAATCAAGATTAAATAAAAATAATTTTAAAAATTTTTGGCATTCTGTAAAAATGTTCGAAAGCATGGGGCATTGTCTCAATTTAAATGCTATAGAAATTTGGTTAAACCCGATATTCTAAAATTAATAAATTTTCAGTTTAACTATTTAAAAATTTTAAATCGAAAGAATTTTGAATTATTATAACTTTTTTTCCATTTTCTCTTATCAATAAAAAATTTTGAAACCAGACCTTGCACTGCTTGTTAACACAATCAAGCTTTCATATAGTTTTCAATCTAGTTCCATTATCAACTAAAATTTTCAAAAAATGTAGTAATCGCGTTTAGACAATTCAAATGGATTTGAAATATGGCTCTTTTCTAAAAATATAGCTCAAAATTTGAATTGCTCAAAATTTTTAAAAAATTTATGAGCCGAGTACAAAAATCTGCCTATATTACGGTGCAAAATTTAAAATGATCAATACTATTGAAATTCAAAATGAAAAACTGACATTTCAAAAACAGTTACATCAAAATTAAATATATCAGACCTGGAGTTGCACAAAAATCGAAAAATAATTAATCGGAACACTCAATTTTTATGTTGTTACCAATTTACGGAAATAGGAATGCCCAAATTCTTACATACCGAAAACTTACTAGTACATAAATATTTTACTGAATTTCAAAAAACTCTACAACTAAGGAAAATAGCCTATATGCGGTCATTAGAAGTTTCTTTTTAAAATGCGAAAAACCCAAAATTTATATGGTGACAAAAACACAATCAAAGTTTTTATCAAATACTAGTTCAACTAAATTACATCTGCATTTTTAAATTTTATTAAAAACCATTTTTATTTGGTTTTTATAATATTAAAAAAAAAAAATAAAATGAACAATAAAATTTGAAGTGAATTGCAAGAAATTGCAAGATTTTCATTTAATCTACGTATATTTATTATGTAATTTATATTTGGAACACTGAACACCGAACACAATTTTTTGGTCTTTAATTGTTGTGGTCTACTATTCTCTAAGTAAATATTTTTATTGAGAAAGGAAGGAAAAAGAAAAATTTACTCAAATATCTAAGCATTTTTGGTTCACTTGTTTTTTTTTTTTTAATTCATTTCTGCTCTTTCTTTTACTTTTTTTTTTTTTTGAATAAAAATATTTTTCATACTCTTTCGAACCATTTAAATTTTTTTTTGTATAAAATCTGTTAAAATGGTATATTAGAATAATGTCTGCATTTGATGGATCTTATAGTCTTTTTATACCACATTCAACTTTTTATGTTTCATTCTCTTTCTTTTTCTCTTGTTTCTTTTTTTGGTTTTTGTTATATTTTTTTATGCCAATATGAATAAAGGGGTTAAATGCTATATTTTATATCTATATGTGTTATATTATAATTCAAATTCATCAGTCATCATAATCATTATCAACGCCGTCACTATCATGCTCTTTATTATGTCAGCAATTTCTATATATACTTATATAAACAAAAAAAAAATAAGAACATCAACAACACCATCATTGCTGAGATTTGACGCTTTGACATGAGCATAAGTGAAATGGTTATTGTTACAATTTTTTTTTCCTTTTTGCTCTTTCTTTTATTTTTCTCTTCTTTTTTTTTCATTAATACAAGGAAAATTCTTCCAAATGAAATTAATTACCCATTTCCTATGTATATATATACAATATAGAAAAAAATCATTATCTTTACAATGTACATATATATGAATGTATATATGTGTGTATATGTAAATTTTTTTCTTTCTGTTACCCTTCTAAAAATTAAGTCATTAAAAGTATTTTGAATAATTTGGTGAATGAAGAATAAAAGGGGAAAAAAATAATAATAATAAACATAAAGAAAAAAAATTATAACACTTTTATGTAAATTGTATTTTATATAATATAAAGGAATGAGTTTAAAACAGTAACATTTGCTTAAAAAAATTTCTAAGAAAAAAATAAATAGGAAATAATTCACCACATTTGAAGAAGCAAAAAAAATAATGATGACCTGCCAAATAAATTTCAAGAATTCCATAATGATTTTTTTATTTTTTTTTGAAAATTAGAATAATTGGAAAATTATTTTGTAAATATTTATTTTGGATCCGATTCAAAATATTGAAAGAATTACAAAGTTAATGTGATTCTTATATAATGATTTTTACTTTGACATATAAGAATTCATTGATTCCATTGGAATTAATATTTTTTGTCAAATCAGATGTCGCTGTTTTAGTAAAATAAAAGCAGTTTGCCAGTAGTTTAGTAATTTTCTTTAAATTCTCTTAACAAAAACTCGCTGTCCTCTAGAGAGTTGCAGACAACACTATCTCCGGATTAATTATACCAAAAATTCTTTGAAAATTAAATGCTATCTTATATAAAAAATTAGGTGAATACTCGTGAATAAATTTAAATATACAACTAGTGTAGTGCTGGGAATGTTACCCTATTATTTATTTTGCACTATTTTTATTATTTTATTCACTTTAAATTTAAGGGTAAATTATGCAATACTACATCACTTATTTATTTAACCCTGAAATTTAAAAAAAAAAAAAAAACTGATGCTGTATTGAGAGTGTTACCCAAGGTGTTTACAGTATTATATATACAGAAATGGAAAAAATTTCATCAAGAGTTCATCAAGAGGGTGGGTCTCGAGCGATGTGTTGTAGTACACGCTCCGCACTCAGAAGGGGGAGGGAGATTACATAATAGATGTTTAGACAACTCAACAAATCGAATGTAGGTTAAAAAATATAATATATTTGCTCTTAAAATTTATGACAATAAATATAATTGAAGAAAATATTAATTGCATAAACTGGACTATTATAGTGAAAAAACGATGACTTCAATTTTCAATAAAAATTTTATCTTGATAATTTTCCAATAAAAACAAAAGTACGACAACTGAAATAAACTATTTCCACATTCACAATTGGCTTGACATATTTTTCACCATAGCTTCGTAAATTTTCGTAAATTTACTTCTTTTTTTTACAACATAGTGCAATTACCGTTTTATTACGAGTATTATAAATTACGTCAAATTAAATCTTTGTTATTTCTTTAAAATATTTTTTTGCTTTTTATCAAATTTTCAATTTTCTAATTTAATTTTTTTTTTTTATGAAGAAAACTTTAATTTTTCCAATTTTTCATTTCAATTACAATTTTTTTTTCTTTCCAAATTTTTCATAACTTTGCGAAAAAAAAATTGGAAAAATTGTGAAAATAAAAACAAGGTAAAGAAAAAAATAAAATTTTCCATACTTTTTCTTCTTAATTTTTGTTATACAAATATAATATAGGCGCCAGCCAAAATATTTACAATGATTAGGTAAAAATCTATAGTAAAATATGGAAATAGATGATAGGATATAGTATAGGATCAGGTTAACAATATTATTTACTTTTATATAAGGTTGTGTGCAAAAGTTTTAAAAAACTTATTAGAAGAAAAATTCGAACAATATAAAATTATTGTCCTTTATTATTAAAACTTGGCTAATATTCAAAAGAAAACTCTTGTTATTTTCCTGATAATAAATTTACTTTAATATGACTATATAAGTAATAAATATTACTCTAGTAAATTGGTGAAAAATAAAATAACAAATACTGTAGTTAGAATAGAATTACTTAAGAATAATAAATTTATACATGTGACGGCAAACTTACACTTCAGATCTCCTATAATATTAAACGAAAGAATCCAAAACTTTTCAAGTATTGAATTTGTAGTGAAATACGCATGAATTCAAATTCCGACTATTAAATACTTTTACTTTACTTAAACAGGAACCTGACATAAATGTATGTGGAAGCTAAAACTTTGTCCTTGCCATTATGTTCTGTCGATGAAAATGATACAGCTACCGACAGTGTCTTTCATGCCGCACTAATTCATAATGAATGAACCCTGTTCTTATATAATACAGCTTGTTCTCTTATCAAATCCAGTGTGATACGGTCCGTGTCAAAAAAACTGATTGCCTCGTAAGGACTCATCATTCTCTAATGAAAAATTTAGATGTCGGTCTCCTTATACTGCATTTGGAATTTTATCAAATATATGGTGACTCAGCTTAACTTTACTTAACTAAGAATGGTCAACAAAAGAAATAACTTATGACTCAAGTTAATGGCACATTTTAATTTTTCATTCACTCACACAATTTTTTTGGAAATTCTTAATGTAATCTAAACCCTTACACACCTACGTACATTTTTTTTCCAAATGTTAATGTAATCGCCCCTGCTTCGAAAAGTTGTTTTTTTCAATTTCATTATTTTTAAAATAATTCAATTTTATTTTCGGATAAGCACTTATTGAACACACTCCATATGTATGATTTAGCAATTTTTTGAATGGAAATTTGAAATAATGATCCTTACTTTCATTACATAATTTCATAAAAAAAATTAAATTTGGAATATTAATGCTCAAAATACTTAATTATACAGTTTCCTTAAATTAAAAGTTCTTCTGTATATAATTTTTCTCATCTTTTTTTAATCAGCGTAAAAAACGTAAAAAAAAAAAATTTTTAAATATATTCATGTAAATTACCTTAATATGTGCACAGACCAATGTTGATTTTTAGTACAAAAACTTCATTGCGTACGAAGGTGGGAATACTCGCCTGAAAATTAAATTAAAACAATTAGAAAAAATTTTAAATTAAATAATCAAAATTATTTTGTATTATATAGTTAATAACATTTTCAAGCACCAGATGTCGCACATGTACGTATGATGTATTAAATAAAAAGCCAAAAATCAAAACCACAACTTGTACCGTTTCGGAAAAAATTAGCTCACTCTTTAACGTTTTAATATTCTAAGTGTTCAAGACATGATTGTACTCCCGAAACAAGCTGAAATAATGGATTTGAACGAAAAAATTACATAACCATAGGAAATATTTCTCCTTCTTTCAGTCTCATAAGGTGACAATTTTAATTTTCATTTCAAAATTTTTTATTCTAGAAATTTTATTAATTACTTAATTTCAGATTTCTGCTTTATACACCTGTAATTCTTGAAAATTTGTCTGGTATATTTAGCACCAAAATGAATACCAGAATCTAGTTCTTTTTACTTTCCATAAAAAACTCTAAATTACTTTAAAAACGTACAATCGTGAGTCACTTGCATTAAGAAGAATAGGGACTCGGGAGTCAGTTGTAAAAAAAGGTGTTTAGTAAAAAAATTCTTAAAAATTTCGACTATGAACTCAAATAATACGTAAATAAAAGAAATCTTAGTAACACACCTATAGGTAGATTTCAATTCAAAATGAGATTATTTTTTAAAGCTGGAAACAGTTTACAAGCAAAACCAATGGAAGAAATCTTCGACTGGCTGTTTACACTAGCCTCTTGCCGGTTGCGAGACAGAGAAAGCAGCTCTCTACTTACAAAAATTATATGAAAAATTTTATTCTCTTTAAATAAATTCACAAAAAATTTCTTCTATAAAAATTTAATTTTTTAATTGTTCGTTTATGCAAGAAAACTCTATTCGTTTTATGCAATAGAGCAGACAAAAAAATATAATCATCACAAAATGCTTATATAATTTTTCTTTTCTTTTTTTTTTCTCAAATTTAAGTTATTCAACGAAAAAAAAAGTAAAAGAAAAAGTATATAAAATATATTTTGCAAACATTTGGTCCTGACACTATTATCCTTTAAATTTAAAGTTAAAATAAAAAAAAAAAAACAACAAACTTTTCAGCTCATCAAATACACACATACATAATGTATATATCATAACAAAAGTTTATATTTTAAATGTATGTATATGCATTATTTTTACATTATACATGCGCATATTATGTACATAATCTTGTACAGGACATTTTACCCTATACCTACTAAAAAAAAAAAATAATATTATTTATGAACATTGTATGTGAAAATTGTGAATATTTACACAAAAATCTACATAAATATTGCAATGATATTATATAAATATACATGTGAGTATTTATATATGCATACGTAGATATTCAGATTTATAATTGTGCATCTCTCCATTCAATATTTAAAAAGGCATTTTGCAAAAAAAAAAAACAAAACGATTAAATTAAAATTTTGTTTTTGCATCATTCACTTGTATATACATAAGTGTGAAAATCAATTCATTTTTGTATTAGCAATAAGAATTTTATACTTGATATCCTTTTTATTATAAAATAAATACAAATATATAATTCTCTATTATTTATTTGAACACAAAACAAAAATTTATTTAACCAAAAAGTAAGAATACGTGTAGATGGAGGACTTATGTACCTAGTATAATATTTTGTATGCCTGTACGTTTTTTGTTTTTGATTACAATCTTAATATAAATTTGTTTTGAAATGCAAGTAAATTATTTGTACATATGTACATAAGTATGTATTATAATGTGCTTGTATGCTTCATTACACTTATAAAAAAAAAAACGAGTATTTAAAAATGAATTTTTAATTAAATTTTTCAAATTAATTTCAGGAAGATAAAAATAATTTTCTTTTCGAAGAAATTTAATTTAATTTAAAAATTTTAAAAAGAAAAATTTCTTTATTATTTATTACTCAAAAATAAATTTTAAATTATTAATTTTATTACGCCTTTGGCATTCTGAATAAATCATGTAGAGAAAAAATGTATGACAAGTAATTAAAAAAAATCGTAATTTAATGGGATTATTTATTGATCTTTGAGGCGGTTCATGTTGGCAAGACCTATATTGTAAGTGATGGTTTAATAATGTGTCAAATGATAAGTCTTTCAAATGATGGTTTTATGTCGCTAACCCAATACGTAGAAAAATCGCTAAAATTCGCTAAATTTTTTCAGCGATTTGATTTACAGTATTTATCGCTAGATATAGCGAAAAAATAGCTAAAACGGTATTACTGTCCGAAAATCATTTAATTTTAATTCAAAAAATTTAATCATTTAATTTTAATTTAAAAAATTTTATTCTTCTCCATTTGTATAAGAATAAACTTTTGCAGTAACAGCTAATTTTATTGTTAATAAAATGAAAATTTTTTCTCTGTGTATATATGCTATAATCAAAAAACAAAAAATAAAAAATAATTTATTTTGTAATTTGAATATTTTGAAATTTATACAGACAAGCAATATAAATACAAGTAAATCTCTTTTCGATTGTTCTGCAATTAAAATTTAATTTTGTAAAATAACATTTTATGTAAATATAAAATTATTGGTTTTACAGCATGAAATCTGACCGTATATCTAAATTTTATGTTCAAAATGTATAAAATATTTTTTATAATATGTGTTCTTTGAAACAAAATAAGTTGAAATTATTTTCAAAATTTTTGAATAGACAAATTTTTAATGTCAAACAAAATATATAACATAAATTTAAAATACACACAGATTAGTTAAAGTTTTTAATGTTTTAGGGTACCCCCTTACATATGACATGCTCCGAAATTTTCATTTATTTAAAATGTATTTAAAATATTTGGAGGGCTTTTGATTTTCCAATAAAACATTATTTTGTTTCAAATTAAAATTTATTGGGGTGCAAAATATTGTGATAAACAAAAAAATTCTTAATCTACAAATATTTTCAAATAAAGGAATTTTAAATTTGTGTAGAATTGGAGAAATTAGAATGAATTGTGGAATGAATTGTGTAGAATTGAAAAATTACACTTAGTTTCAATAAAGAATAATTATAAATATTTGGGTAAAATACGGAACCACTGTCGATTTCCATATTAGTGTAGCCGTTTTGCATTTTAGTTTTTACCGCTTTCCGATATTCTAATTTAATAAATCTTGTTGCTTCATTTTTCTAATGCGAAGTTCGTTTTTCAACTACAAATATCATATTTCTCAGAAACCACCCTGACTGACTCTTTATTATTAATATTAAAATTTATTGAAGTGGCATCGGACACATTTGAAGCAGGAAGTATAAATATTACCGTCCTTCAGCTTATACAAAGGTTAGAATTATAGAACAAAAAGAGTGAAACGAAAGAGTTCTCCTGAGTTCGTCACGATATGTTAAGACGAAAACACAATACATTAGAACTGATGTTTAGTCAGTTTGATCAGCTTTAGGAAAATATGACAATTCAGATGAGTTTTAGATTCAATTTAAGTATCCGAATATTGGCGACTGTTATTCAATATCTTTGTTTTCCAATAATTTCCGAATCAATAAAATCCGAATACTAAACTTTATCAAATCAAAAAACCATAGTATAACAATATCCAATTATTTATTTAATTTTTATTTTTTTTTTTTTTTTAAATTTACATTAAATTCTACTAATTTTAAAAAAATGTTTTTGTATTAAAACTCTGTTGTAGTTGCATTATAATGTAGCAAATCATGTACAATACACATACTTGCATACATATACGTATGGATTCATAAAGGTTTATTATACTCAATATTCAATAATACTTAAATGCTTTTAAAATTATTTTGTTATAAACCACATAAGTACTATATGTTTTGAAACTCATTTAAATTTAAAACTAAAAATTTAAATTGCAATTTTTTTTTCATTTTTTTTTTTGGAAAAAAATGTTAAAATTATATTTAATTTTTTTTTTGTTTTTTGTTCAACTCATTATTTTTAAATTGAAATCAAATTAAATAATGCAATATTTTAAACTCATGGCTTGTAGTATAGCACAATTACTTTATATATTTTAAGTCTAAAACTTGTATTATTACAGTTATATAGCCTGATATTGAAATAAATATTTCATTACCATTGAAATATTGCATATTTTCAGGAGCAATTTTAAAGTAATAATTTGAAATAGAAAGGTATTAAGATATTATGACTGTTCGATACAACAGCAATGTAATATAAGTCAAAAACGTTGCGAATATAAGACTTCAAAGGGGCTTTATTTTTATTAACCCTTGACTTGAATTTATATTGCTATATTAGTACTAAAATTATCACATTAAACATCTCATGTTCCGTTGCTTACGCTCGGAAAATCACGATATGTTGTGAAAAGTTAAAAAATTTCTCATTCTCATAGTATACTCATAGTTAAGGAATTCCGATTTTAACTTATGTCAAAGTTTTTAAAAATGGACAATAAGAATTTTCACCCGGATAGAAAGTTCATTTTATTTTTCAATTTTTATAGAAATTCATTAGAGCCGATAATATCGAGAAACCGAATATTGATAAACGAAAATTTAAATAATGCAAATTATGAGGGGTAATAACTTAGAGAGAAAGTACTGGAAAAGAAATTTTATTCTAATAAAATAAAATATTTATGGTTATCTTTTTATTTTTAGTTTGATAATTCCGTGTGTTACCGTGTAGGGAAAAAAAAGATTTGTGGGAAAATGGTATTAAATGAATTATAATGTTACGTGATTTAAATTTTCGGCTTTGAATTTATATTGCAGATTCACAGCTACAAATTTTGATTTAAAATATTTTCATGTAGAACATTACTATTATCATTTTATTTTTGACCCTTAGTATATCGAAACTTTTCTGTACAAATCATTGCCAATTTAAGAAACATGAGATACAATCAACTTTAAAAGATTTATAAAATTTTCCATTGTCATTATACAAACATGAAAATCTTCTAAATGTC